GGTGACATCTGTCTCAGGGCCTCAGGCACCTGGCAAGTCCTGGGCCTCCAGAAACTGGGGTTCTCATGACTGGAGGCTCGGCACTGCCAGGACAGTGTGGGTACAGCACAGACCGGCCATGTCCCAAGTGTCAGGCACCGAAAATGATGCCTCAGGGTGGCCACTGGGGAGCCCCAACCCAGAGCCACACGAGGCCTCTGGCAAGGGCGAGTGGACAGAATCAGGACCTGACAGGTCCGGCCTCCATCTGCCGCTGTCTCCTGCCGCCTGGCTTTGGTTTTCTCCTCTAACCTCTCCGAGACTTGGTTTCTTTGCCTAGAAAGGGGTGTTGGGCTATTGTGAGGGGTCAGGGCCCTCTATCGAGGCTCCCGGTGGGCGACACTCTGGCAGACACTGTTCCAAAACAGAGAAATGATGCTCCATTGGCCGGTTATGGCTCGGTAGCTGGACCTTTCACGGAACACACAAGAACTCGGTAAGCAGGCCACAGCGCTGAGGTGGTTTGTTGGCAAGATGTGGACTTGTCGCATCCATGGGGCCACGGGACAGCTCGCCGGAGTGTATGTGAAGAGGCTTTTCCTCGAGCGTGGGCACGTCGCGTGCCTGTTGCTGGCCCTGGGCCTGGGTAGCTCCTGCCCTCCTCACTTGGGCTCCCAGACGCTGGCTGGCACTGGCTGTGCCATTTGTAGGCGAGGCCCAGGCCGCGTGTGTCTGTGTGTCTGTGGACACAGCCCTCAAGGAGACACTTAAGGCTTTTTGTTCTTTTGTGCTCTAGGGTGTGAAAGCAACTTAATCATTTCACCTTGGCTTCAACTGTAGGTGAAGCGTCCATACATGGGTGTGGAGAGGCTTGGGCAGCATGTCGACCTATTTCTGGAGGGTCGTATGTCACACCCGCCTGGAAGGAGGAGTCCCTGGCTACAGGTCAGCGACCTGGGCAGGTGTCCATCAGTGCCAGGCCGGACGCTGTCCAGGCTGGCAAAGTCAAGTTCAGAGGGGGTATCCAAGCAAGCTCCTGCATACTTCCTGGCTGTGCACAACCGCCCTTCACCCCTCTCTGTAGCCTGTGTTCGCCCCCTTTTCCTGCTCTGTCCTCTTTCTGTGCTGAGCATCACCAGTGCACAGAAACTCTGAGAGGAGGGAGCCGAGGGTGGTTTCACAGCCCTCGCAGGTGATCGTGAAGAACAGACCTTGGCGCTGGCCTCGCGGGCCGGACCCTTCTCTCTAAGACCGGTGTCCCCAGTCTAAGACCGGTGTCCCCAGTTACCTTGGGATCTGGTGTTTGGGGACACGAGGGGAGCTGCCTGGCCACGGATGGCCAGCAGCAGGCCAGTGGCTCTTCGGGCCACAGGAGCGAGACCACAGGCTGTCCACAAAGCCCAGAAGTCTGACAGGGAGGCATCCAGTGCTCTGAGGGACAGGCCACTCACTCTGCAAACCTGTAGACGCCTCACTGACCAGTGTGTTCGGTTGACAAGTGCAAATGCCTTGGCGACTGACCTGTGGCCAAGGAAGTGGTCACCTGGCAGCAGAGGCGCGTGTTGGCTCGTTCAGAGCAAGTGGTGGTCATCACGATGCCGATGGAGACGGTGACACTGCGTTCAGTTTATGGTGCAAAAGTGTCAACAGGAAACACACACCTCATATTTGAGGATGTTCCTGTGTAAAGCGTCTTTGCTGATGATTCCTCCTCTTGTGAGCTCTGGTACTTTGAAGCACAATGTGCAGTGTCCCTGTGTGCAAGGCATCACGGCGGCTCTATGACGGGCCCCGACATTCTGGAGGGGCCGACCCCACCCAGCGAGGCTGATAAACTGAGGCCGTGAGTGCTGCCCCTTGCACGCCAGGTGACTCCCCACTCCTCTGGGCTCTTCGCGGAGGAGGGCACTGAGTGACTGAAGGTTCTCCAAGTCCACGGCCAGTGAGGGACAGCGTGCCCTTCACCCTGACCTCAGAGCCTGTGGGAGCAGAGGCAGAAGCCGCCGAGTTTAACCAGCCCTCAGTGGTAGACAAGCACAGCACCACGCTGAGTTCTGAATTCTCTTCCTTTGTGAGAAGAGCAGGTTTTGACTCTATAGAATTTCAGAATATTCACTGGTGATACAAACCAGAAGGAATGTTCCAAGCCGGCCAGGCTCTCTGAGGTCAGTGTGGTCTAGCGGGGCCTGGCTTCCCCAGCTGGCCCGCCGAGTGGCCAATGTGCAATTAGTCGCCGCGGGTCTTGAGTTACCGTCAGTTCTGTGTAAGAGCTGCCTGATCACGGTACAAAGCCCTGCAGGGACGGGCTGCCTCCTGCTGAGGTTAAAATGGACTCAGCAGGATGGGGTGAGCGTGATTGCTCTTGGCCATTGTGACTTCCTGTTTTCAAGATAAAAGTCAGAGCTTTACCAGACCATTTCAGAAGGCTTCAGTGAAGCTATCACATACAGCTTAGAGAAAACACTTAAGTAATTTTATTGCAAGGGAATCTGAACCATATGGATGGTTTTACTTAATAAGCGCATCAGCTTAAAGAGGATTGCCGCATGACCTGTAAAAGAATCAGTAAAAGCTGTTCGGCCATACATGTAAGCTGGAGTATTAAGAAAGGACATTTTCAAGTACCTGAAAAACATAGGTGCATGGTTTTTCTAAACCCAAAGATTTGGGAGCTGTAGGGCCATGCCAGCAGGATGGGGCTCCCCTTTGCCCTTGGGTGCAGGGTCAGGGACGTCTGCCTGCAGGCAGCAGCCCTCAGACAGTCTTTGGCGAGAGGCCTTTTCCCATTCATTCCCTACCTGCACGTTTATTAGCGGCCACACACACGCACACACGCACTCACGCCTGCGGGCACGTCACCCACACTATACTTAGGGCGCAGGTGTGTGCTCGCACTCTGGAGGATCCCGTCCAGCTCTGAGCCTTTACTTCGCGTTTATTAGCAGAAGTTGGTGGATGGCACCGGGGGAGGGGAGCATCACTGGAAGGGGAGAATGCACTTGGCACTGGAGTGGTTGAACTCAGGTCCTGTGGGCAGCTGTGTGACCTTGGGTCAGTCACTTCCCCCGCCCAGCCCCATTTTGCTCATGAGTCTGATAACTCTCTCCTGTTGGCCTGGGTGCTGCAGTTAGGCGACGCTCAGCCAGGCCCGGCTTCTGGCAGCCTGGAAAGTTGTACACTAAGGCGGCGGCATGGAGAGCTGGCTGGAAGGGGCCTTCGGCCTGTCCTGCAGCTCGTTCACGCCAGGCCTCGTTCTCCACCCCTGGCGTGGCACGTGAGACAGCAGGCGGGGCCTGGGGTGAGAACCCGGGTGAGGTCGGTGGGCCGGGGTGGGGCAGGGCTGTGCGTGGGGGCACTGAAGGCGACAAGCTCCCTGGTCCTAACCCTCGCCCGCCTCCCCCTCACTGCAGGAAACCCCATCTGTCTGTTCTCATTCCTACTTCTCAGTCTTCTTTTTTCTTTTAAGATTTATTTATCTATTTATGTGTACAGAACTGGGGTGCAGGCCAGAGGTGCAAGGGTGGTGAGAGGCTTCACCAGAGACAGAACAGGGAGCAGAACAGGCAGATCAACGAAGTACACTGCTGAGGGGAGCAGCAGGCAGGTCAGGAGAGGTCTGCTGTGCCCTGCTGTTACCTCCGGGGCCAGGTATCGAACTCACACTGAAGCAGTTGTGACCAGCTTGCAGGGCTGAGTCCTAACCGGCTGCACCACCTGGGAGGGCCCTACTTCTCAGTCTTCTACTGTTGGTGTCGGGGTGCCTGTCCTGCTACTCTGCTGAGGCCTAGCAGTAGCATATCTATCATTTCCATAATCCTCTGTGCACCCTGATTTTTACAGAGGCTTGACTTTGAACTTGAGAGTGTATCTCTCAACTTAGATGAAGCTGAGGTCAGTTTAGTAGAGGCACCCCAGGAAGTGGCCACACATTACCAGGCGGCAAGGCAGAGTTGCATGTGGTCAACCCACTGGCCACACTGTTAGGTTTAAAACAAAAATTCTTAATAATTACTACTTTGTGTATGCAGGAAAACATTTGCTCAACCATAAATGGCATTTCTTCAGTAGGCTTGAGGAATGGGGGTACCCAGGGACTGAGGGCATATCTCCAGCTAATGTGCAAATGGATATTCCCTTTGGTTAGATTCAGAATGTTGGTGTCAAGTATCTGACATTTCAGAATGACCACCCGTGGCTATTTGTGTCTTATGCTACTGAAGACCACAGTAACTGATGATGAGCGTCTTTGCTTTTATGTCTCAGTAATAAAATGCTCGTGTAACTGGGAATTTTCCAGCCTAATAAGTTAGCCAGAGTAGGTGACCTGGCTAAGGTGTAAGTCGAGGACGGTACCTGAGAGGTGATGGTTTCCTCAACTAGGAAGACGCTCACTGGCCTGACTGTGTCCCCAAATCCAGGCTAGAATAGGACTCACTTTCAGAAACGGGCGATGACATCAGCATTCTGAGATCGATCCGTTTGGCAAGAGGGTTTGCTAACGTGACCGAATCAACAATGAGACAGCAGACCTTGAGTATGGCAGTGAGTGTCTCGACAGGCAAGACTTAGACCTGTAAGAGAAACTAAGCAAAACACAAATGAACATTTACTCTCCCTAATTCATATTCGATTCCAGGAAAGCTGCTTCTTCAACCTTATGACAAAAAGGCTCCTGGGAGGCAGCTGCAAACAGACACGCATGTGTGCTGTAACTGTGCTGACCTTGCCCCAGAGAGAAAGACAGTTTTCATGAGGGCAAAGGGCTTTAAATGAAGAAGAATCTTGTAGACCATTCCAGACTTCTGATGGCGCTCTTCCACCTGCTAGGTTTTCAGTTCAGGTCCTGAGACTTCTCAGTCTGAGCCGTGGCGAGGGACACGTGCCCAGAGAGTCCACCCCCTTGGGGAAAGAACATTCTTACTAGATGGGTTACCAGAATGATGTGCAAAGCCCGGTCGCTAATGGCCACAGCTCAGCCTTCAGACCTACTGGTGACAGTCCCGTGTTGTGTCCTCTTTAAGAAAAGGAAGTGCCCAACAAGCCCCTCCGCATGCGTGTCCGATCCTCAGACGACCGGCTGTCCGTCGCGTGGAAGGCGCCACGCCTGTCTGGAGCCAAGAGTCCACGCAGATCGCGAGGATTTCTTCTGGGCTATGGGGAGAGTGGCCGGAAGATGAATTATGTGCCACTGTCAAAAGATGAGCGAACACATGAAATTAAAAAGCTGGGTGAGCTTACTGTTCAGCGGTGTTCAATGTTTTGCTGATCTTTGCAATCGTTAGATGCTTGCTCTTGCGAGAGCATCATATTTTTAATGCTCGTTACAAAATACATGCTTTATACATAACGTGTGAGCGCGTGTACAGCTGCCGTCACACATAACGTTATGTCCCTGTAGACGCACAGTGTAGTGGACACGCTCGAAGTGAGGTCATTCTCTCTCTTCTCTGACCTCCTCCCACCTTCATGCCCAGGGGACAGGGCTCAGGCCACGGGGCCCGGAAGCGGCTTTACAACCCTGAACGCAGGGAAGATTCTGCGTCCTTAGGAGCGATGTGACCTTGGGCAAGTCCATTTTTACAGCTTTTATGTTCTTATTTGCAAACTAAGAAGCTCTAGCTGGAAGATAACCCCGGTGTCCCCACGGTCTCAGGCAACCCTGAGACCCTAACTTGTAACCCCTTTCTTTTTAAAATGTTGCTCATCTTTGACACTGATGATGACATAGAAACCCAGGTTTCAAGCATGCTAGGTAAAAAGCACACCCACATTTTCCAGCTTAACAGAGCTCCTCTGGAGTTTAGTGCCTACAGTGATGGTTTCAATTGTCTGGGAGAAGCAGGCCTGTCCCCCGAAAGATGAGATGGGACAGCGGGAGAGGAAGGTACAGAGCAGGGGTGTGCTGGGAAACCACTGACTTTCACCCGCTGTCCTCGGCCCACAGCCTCGGAGTCGGTGTACGTGGTCTCTCTGCAGTCCATGAACTCCCGGGGACAGAGCCAGCCTGTCTACAGGGCAGCCCTCACGAAGCGGAAGATCTCAGGTGCGTTCCTGGGGGTGCAGCAGGCCAAGCTGTCTAAGGGGCTATTCCCAATGCTGCTGGTGGGGTGCCGCAGCGTGAGGGTTTTGTTGGAAGGGAGCAGGAGGGTTCCCGGTCTCCGAGTGTTCTTCACTCTCAGAGGCTGGAGAGTCGAAATGCCTCTCTCTGTGTGCTCTGCGTGACACAGGTGTGGAGCTGAGCAGAGCTCCACAGAAAGGCACAGCTCCGCCTCCTGTAGGTTACCTGTGCACAGAGAAGATAAAGAGCAGGCTTGGAGGGGGCCGCAGGCACGATGCGCCCTTAGACTTGATTTCAGCTAAAATTGAGAAGAGTGAGAAAAACTGTAGTGCTGGCTGGTGGCTCGGCTGCTGGTCACCCACGCAGGGATGCTTTGCACAGGTAACTTCACTCACATATCAGCACATCGCACACCTGCTCTGGACCGTGGTGTTCATTTAAAGAGAGGCAGCTACAACTTGTTTTCATAAATTCATCAGTTATCTGTGAATTATCCGTTGAAGATTATACTATGTTACGTTACTATAGACTTCGCACCACATTAATCATCATGGAGTTGGCACTGCTCACGGACGCCCCACCTCTGTGAACTTATTATACACCCATTGGGCTCATTTAAGTTTCTAGCACTTTTTCGACAGCTTCACTGTTTCCACTTTCTCTTCCTTGTAGTAAAAGCCACATTCTCTTGAGCATGGTCCTTGCACAGTGAAGAGAAAAAAAACAAAGCAAACAAAAATGAAAACAAGGGCTAATTAATAAGCAAGGGTATTTTTTTTGAGTCTCACTTCATGCTGGAGATAGAATAAAAGACCAGCTTCACGACGATGATGTGTTCTACGGGATGCAAATCGAGTTCTGTTCTGTGTCTCAATCGCATAGAGTCACATGTTCTAAACTGTGTGACTCTGAGCTCTGTATGATTTGCTTGGAGCAGCATTCACCTTTCATGCCACGATTCTCATGGAAATATCCCGACTTGAGCGTCCTAAAACTTTTATTGTAAAAATGGGATTATTCCCCAAACGTCCCCAAACTCACAGGATGCATGGAGAAAACCCTGACTTCCGTGGAGCACCTTTGACTACAGCTAAGTGCCCGATTTTGCACTTTTCTCATGCCGACTGGGCTGACAGCTTCTACAGTGAGCTGTGTGTTGCTTAGACTGTGGCTGAGAGGAGAGTAGGCGTTTGTGTTTTTCTCTGTCCACCAAAGAACCGCTTAACCTCCCACTCATGTCATTTTATCCTTCTCGAAGTATAAGCACCTGAGCCTCATTCAGGTGAGTAATGATGAGGTCCAGGCAGAGCGCACTGCCCGGCCACTTCACGCCTCCCATTGTCATTTCAGAGGAGAATGAACTGGACATTCCTGAGGACATCACTGTCCGTGTTATATCGTCTCAGTCTGTGCTGGTAGCCTGGGTGGACCCTGTTCTGGAAAAACAGAAGAAAGTTGTCGCATCAAGGTACTTGCCCTAATGTTTTGACTTTGCTTTATGTGAGAGTCTGGCTGTTCTGCCCCTGGAGACCCGTGTTCACGGGGAGGGTTGTACTTGGGGACACGAAGGGATCTGTCCTCTTCCCTAGCTGGCAAGTGGGTGCTTCTGCCACCATCCCGCTCATCCTGAGGACGGATGAGATGAGATGCCACAGGGCCTGGGGCAGGCCAACTCCCAGCTCACTGCTCGGCCCCACCTTGTGTCTGGAAATGTCCAGATCCCATTTCTTTTCACTCCCCTTTGGGGCTTGCTGCCTTGTGAATGCTTCTTCACATGCAGAGACTGTGGGTCCCTCTTGGGAGGAGACTTGCAGGAAGAAGGGGTCCGCGTGGAGCACCCTTGAATGTTTCAGGCTGGAGGTCCTGCTAGGCCTTTTCCAGGCTGCATCGCTGCGTGTCAGCTCGTGGGCAACACATTTCTGTTACGCCATGACGTGATGTCAGTCTGGCTTTTACATGGTTGCACTAGCAACAGAGGAAAAGGCAGCTTAAGTTTTGAATAATCTTTGTGTTGAGAAGTCATCCCAGGCGAACACCATTTCTAACTAAATTTTAAATGAGCAGTTCACACGAGAAGCAAGACATGTTGTGGCCTGATCACCAGGCATTAATTTTTTGACCTTCTTGCACCCAGGAAAAGTGAGGGTACTTTTAAAGAACATGAGTGGACTATAGTGCTGAGATGATCCACATGCGTGGTGCTGTCTGTGTGAGATAGAACTTCGATCACTGCCTGCTATTAAAAAAGACATCTGCTTCTTTGAAAGTGCTCAGACGCTTTACAGTGACGCTCTCCCCAGCCACATGGCTGCGCTGACAGAAACTGCCCCGCCCACCACGGGACTCAGTTTCCCATGTCTTGCTGAATATAAAAGAGGCCTCGAGCTTTCCCCGCAGACCTCGTGTGTCCCTTGACGCGTCTGCAGCTGAAGGCTTCGCTGGCTTGCAAATGTGTAGTGAGTAGCACATTTGTCCAGCAGCAATGCATTGTGCCACAGAGAATGTTTCTTGGAAAATAAATCCAGCAACTGGCATTTCCAAAGCGCAGTATGTTGGGGAGTCTTCTGTTCAGGATGCAGAATGTCACCATGTTGGGGCCCTGGTCTCCTACCCTGCTGATCACAGCCCAGGGCTCTTTCAGAAGCTCCTCATCCTGTCTTAATTGTTTCATATTTTTGCTCTGTGCCTCCCCCCAAGTGTTATGTCTGCTCAAGACCCCTGTTCTTCCCCTGAACCTGGCTGGGCATGAACTCTTGCTTTCTTTTCTGTGGGGTCAAGACGTCTTGACCAGTTCTTAATGCTGCCCTTTCCACATGCACCCTGCCCACATGACTCCCCCAAAAGCATGCCCCCAGGAAGCCATTGCCTCAGACAGGTGACCCTCCTGACCCTTCCCTTCTTTATCTTTTCTGAGCAGCAAGGCTCATGGTCTTGGAAAGAAAGCGAGTTCCAGCTCTCCTGGCTACTCTAGAAGCCTTGGCGTGGGACTTAGGTGGATGCTTTGAGCCGATAATTCCATCAGAAGTTGAGACTTTTCTCTTCTTCGATTCCCTCAAAAGTCATCACTTACGACAGGGACGGGGGAAAGGGCCAGCCGGGGACCTGGTGAGTTCACAGGGACAGGTGAGCCGGCCATGCTTCCTCTGTTCTCCTAGACAGTACACGGTGCGCTATCGGGAGAAGGGCGAGGCGGCCAGGTGGGATTACAAGCAGATCGCCAACAGGCGCGTGCTGGTGGAAAATCTGATCCCCGACACCATGTACGAGTTCGCGGTCCGCATTTCTCAGGGCGAGCGGGATGGCTCGTGGAGCACATCTGTCTTCCAGAGAACTCCAGAATCTGGTTTGTATTGAAAGGAGCCTTTGATTTTCACTTGGGGCATTTCCCCCCAGGGAGGCGGTAATGCCAGCCAAGAAGCAGGTGCTGAAGGGCCCGGCGGAGCTTTGATTTGAAGAGCCACGAGCCCTAAGTGTCAGTCTGTGTCTGGGAGCGGATACAGGAGGGGAGCTGTGTCCTGGGCCTGGGGCCACCCCTCACAGCCCTTGTAGAGGGGTTATGCTGACAGGGGGCGCTCATGCGACCCCGGGGGTGGGCGCTGGTGGCCTGGCACCAGAGTGACCCTGGCCTCCCCGGCCCTGCGGGGGAAGGGAGGGCCTCTCCTCTTTCCTAAGACTGGTGCTCGAGTCAACAGAACATTCTGTTCTGCAGCCAAGGCAACACTTCCTTTCTCTGAAACTGTATCTTTAAAACTTAATTAAAAAGAAGTTGGAATTGACTTTAATTTCTTTCGTATATTCCAATGTACGGCCACGGAAAACTCATTTCCTAAAAGTATTTCCCCAGGTAGGTCTCAACTCATTGTCTGAGTTGGCAGAATAAAGCACTGGTTTATCGCAAGATGTACGGCTCAGGGGCAGTGTAGAATAAAGCGACACAGGAGCGATTCAATGGGAAAAGTGCCCAGAGCCCCAGCCCGGTCCCTAGGAGCTCCACTGGGGCCGGCATGTCAATCCTTGGGCCCTGCCTCGGGCCGGTGTGTCAACCCTTGGGTCCTGTCTCTTCTAGCTCCTACCGCGGCTCCTGAGAACCTCAGGGTGTGGCCAGTGAGTGGCACACCCACAGCCGTCACCGTGGCTTGGGATGCTCTCCCCGAGACAGAGGGAAAAGTGAAAGGTAGGCGCCTGCCCCTGAAGGGTGTGAGCTCCCCGAGAGAGGTGGGCTCACCAGGATCCACACCGTGACCGCAAGAAAGCAGGGTGCACCCTACAGATATGGGGGGCTGGCCCGTGGGTGCTGGCACCTCCCCGGGGCTCAAAAGAGCTGCGGAGATGGCTGTTTGTCTCCCCTCTGCCCTGAGGTTTGGGTGCTGCCCCCAGGCAGGCTGTATGGTGTGCGGTCTCCCGTCACCCCACACGGGACCCAGCTTCTCACGCTGTGGGCCTCGTCACTGAGCTGCTGAGACAGCGAGAGCAGGAGTGAGCGGCAACCCCAGGGGTCCTGTTTTTAATGAAATTGAAAACTCAAGTAATAAAATGGAAAATGGATTCTTTTCCTGTTGCCAACCTTTTAAATGTACTATTTGGGGTCGGGAGGGAGGGGCGGTGTGAGGAAAAGTTGACCTTCAACTAGAAAATAATACTGTAGAATTTTAAAAAATCAAATAAAACGTTCACCCCAGTTAGTTAAATTTAAAAGTAGCCCGTTGAAAACGCTAAATAAAAACATAAATCTTTCCTTTCTTAACGTAAAAGCATTTAAGAACTTTTTAGAAGTCTGTCTGGAAAACACTCTAATGGCTTTTTCCTGATGACCTGCACAAATGTGCCCTAAAGATGTATTTTATTGTTCCTTGATGTCGGAAGATAACTTTAAATCAAATTTTCCCAGGAACTACGACAAGTTTGTGAAAGCTTCTAGAAATCTAAAAAGTTATCACTCATCTTTGAGAATTTCTTCCTCGACACAATGGAATCGTTGTTTTTTGTGTTCAGCTAAGAGTTCTCTTGGCTGTCGTGCAGTCAGGAGTATCTTTTCATGCAACAATAGAAGTCCCAGAAGGCAGATGGAGGGTAGTATTTTCTAGACTTAATGCTTTCTCAACTTTCCAGTCTTTTCAGGCTGTATTTTACGGGTTTTGCCCATTTTTCCACTGGGAGAAATCAGAAACAAATGAAGACAAGAACTCTTTAGCTGGTTCCGTGAAGCTTTCTTCATGGCAATTAAACCTTCACTTCTGTGTCTGTCTCGTGATGCAAAAGAGCCTTCTGAAAATTGAAAACAAGACATTTTGTGGTCGGAGCTTTTTTGAATTATAGAAAAGTCAATTATTGTTCCTTTAGGACTTTTTACCATGCTACTTATTTATTTTTTGTTCCCTCTCCCCGTCTTAGTTTACATTTATAGCTCTTTGGTGAAAGAAGTACCCTGCAGTCAATGTTGCCAGAAATAATAACAGCCGTTGGGTTTCCATGTCCAAAAGCGCTCTCTGAGCTTAACTCTCCTTAGGTGGTTTTCAAAAAGGTGTCGCGGTGGGATTGAAAATTCTCAGTTACGCTGGGGCATTTTTTATGGATGAGAAATATAAAACATAATAGAAGTATACACTTAACAAAGTATACATTTTGGTTAAATTTTTTCCAGATGAATTAAAATCATAAAAAATCAGAACTACAAAATTTTATAGACTTTGGGTTCTTTTGATTTTTCCTTTGACCACCACAAATGACTAGTTTATTCATTTTCGGTGAGAAAAGAATGCTGTGTCTTTTTTTCCAGGCACATTTTGCAAAGACAGTTTGGAGTAAAAGCTTTTTCATTGACATACTTCTTTTTTTCTTTGAAACTTGATTTTTTAAAAACATTTATTTATTTATTCATACAGAGCTGGGGTACAGGCCAGAGGTGCAGGGGCGGTGAGAGGATTCCCCAGAGACAGAGTGGGGAGCAGAACAGGCCGACTGATGAAGTCCACTGCTGAGGGGAGCAGCGGGCGGGTCAGGAGAGGTCTGCTGTGCCGTGTGGGTCACCTCCAGGGCAGGGATCGAACTCATGCTGAAGTGGCTTTAGCTTTTTAGTGCTGCACTTTAACCCGCTGCACCACCAGGGAGGGCCCACGCTGACAAACTTTTTAAAGATTAGATTTTTAGAGAAGGAAAGAAAAGAATTTCCAAACTCTGCTAGGAAGTATGTAATTTCTTGGTTTCCGATAATTCAGATTTCTTGGTTAGCTTCTACTCAGATGAACTTGATAAGTTCAGTAAGTCTTGCATTCTTTGGGAAGAAAAGAGGCTTACCAATTTTTAGTAGTGGGTGAAAGGCTTTCAAATGTGGTTTCCTTAGACACAGTATTTCCACATAAGTATAGAGTGAGGGCCATTCCTTAGGACGACTGTCAGAGTTCATGGACACCATATGTCTCTATCTATAGCCAACTAAAAATGGACATATTGAACAATACAAAATCTATTCTTAGCCACTGTACTTCACAGTTCTAAATCCTATGACATAATCTTACCAGCCGATATTGAATCATAACTTTTATAAGCCCTACAAAAATAAGATGATCTTCCACATACAGAGTCTCCCTGGCTTCGAGTGCCCAGAGTAGCCCAGCTTAATACACTGACGCCCTTCCAGCTGTCAGCAGTCTTGTGAAGCCCCCGCCGGTGTTTGCCCGCGCTTTTCCTTGGTTTCTATGATTCCAGATATAATAATGCTGTCATAGGAAATTAGTAACTAAATACGGTGAGGAAAAACCCAAAATACAGTAGAAAACTTTGTGTTACAGTGTATTAAGATGGGCATCCCCCACCTTCCGATAGAAATGGCCAGCTCGTGCGCACCCTGCCTTGGCCAGGGAAAGCCGCTCTCCTGCGTGTCTCGATGCGCACCTCTGACTTGCGTGCACTGCTGGAGTGTTAATTTTAGTAATGCACGTTCTAATTCATCCTGCCCTACAGTCTGTCCTCCTTCCAACCGTCTGCCAAATCATTTCAGAATACATTCTCTCATACGCCCCGGCTCTCCAGCCGTTTGGAGCAAAGTCCCTCACCTACTCTGGAGAGACCACGTCTGCCCTCGTGGATGGTCTTCAGCCTGGGCAGCGCTATCTTTTCAAAATCCGAGCGGCAAACAGGAGAGGACCCGGGCCTCACTCCAAAGCCTTCATTGTCGCTGTGCCAGCAAGTAAGCCTGTGTGTTGTGGTGTGTGTGGCTCTCCCTGCATGCTGTGGCTCTCCCTGCGTGCTGTGGCTCTCACCGCATGCTGTGGCTCTCACCGCATGCTGCGGCTCTCCCTGCGTGCTGTGGCTCTCACCACGTGCTGTGGCTCTCCCTGCGTGCTGTGGCTCTCCCTGCGTGCTGTGGCTCTCCCTGCGTGCTGTGGCTCTCACTGCGTGTTGTGGTTCTCACTGCGTGCTGTGGTTCTCAC